TTCGCAGGCGGTCGCAGTCGGTCGCAGATGTTTGCGTCGGTGAGAGGGAGTGATAGGACCACCTTGCAGGATCCAGCGTCTACAAGCTATGAGCATGGAGACATGGCCGTGAAATGGCATCGGTTTCTCTTTTAGTCATTTTAGTCTTGTGCAATTGTGCAAGAGACAATGTTGCCTTCAAGATATCTAAGGATGAGCTCAACGCGGTACCCGAGAATGAGGCAAGAGTGTGGGAACTTTTGAGGTAGGAACCATGGCAAAAGGACTTCACAACTGATGTGTCTTTCGTTGACTAGAAAAGCTAGGAAGGCTAGAAGCCTTTTGGAAACTAATGTTGTCCATTGACGACCCTCGCAGGCGGACAACTTCGTTCACTATTTCAAAGGCATAGCTCCACCATTCCAGCCAGGTGAGGGTGTCATGAAACCGATTCGCTGTGCGAAAGAAGCAATCTCTGGAAGGCTTGGGGCCTCTTCGTCGTGCAGCCGCTTGGCTTGAGATGCTGCATTGGGTACTGAAACCATTGTAAAATATCCAAAATAGACTCAAACAATTTTTTTTAATCTATTCATTTTTGCTGTTGCTCTACTTGAAGAAGCCTGCGCCCTTGTTGCGTGGTGTTCCGCTTTGTTGCCTGGTAACATGTCATTCAGACCTGTTTCCTGCTATAGCTAGATTATGTTCCGTGGATGGCACACCTTTTTGACTTTGCGTCATTCTGTTTGATGGTCCCTCACGCTGCCACTCTGTGACTTGGTCCGAGGTGATTTTCACTTGCAGCTTTGGTGATGGACACAGGTCTGCTCAGCAGGCAGTAGAAGAGATCCTCAAGGTGAGTCTAAACGGACAACTGCAATGAAGACCATGTCAACCTTGTTTGGTCAGGGGGCCAACTTCGACGTGCACTCTGTGGATACGACCCGTGACCCTCCATTTGAGGAGCGAAAAAGAGTTTGAGGGGTAAGACCTGGGTAGTGCAAGAGCTTCCTTCCATCGCAAGGGCTGGATGCAAAAGGAGTTGGGCAGCCTCGGTCTTACTTGAAGAATGACAGCATGGTCTTGCTTGTAGACCAAGTTTCGTTTACTTCAGATCCCTTGAGTCTGTGCCTCAGCCAACATCATGGACATGTGGTACAACAGACTTATTTTGAGATGGCCTTGGCCTTGGTGCAAGTCAGAGGTCCTTTCAATTTCTGAGCTCCCAACTGTGCTCCCGGCTTGCTACCATTGGCTCCAAGCTCGGTGTTTGGGCAAAGACTCCTTTGTATTCCTTTGTTTCACTGGTTATGAGAACTTGTAGACATGCAATTCGCCGTTGCGGCCGTGTGCTAGAGCTGAACCTGGAAGCGTCGGCCTTGAACAAGGAGATTACAGCCTTGTGCCGCAGCCATGAATGGCGGAGGAGCCTCAGTCTGTTGGACGAGGCACTGGCGAAGAATGCCTCCGTGAGCGTCGTGAGCTTTGGAGCTGCTTTGGCCGCTTGTGACCGTGGCTCCTTCTGGCAGGAGGCCTTGAGACTGCTGAGCGAGGCTTCACCCTATGGGCTGAACGCTATTCTTTGGAATGCCACCATCAGTGCATGTTCCCGCGCCAGGCAGTGGGAATATTCCTGCAGGCTGCTAGAGGAGATGGATGAAAGTCAGGTCAAGCCGGACACCATCAGTTTCAACTCGACGATGAGGTCTTTCACAGGCACAGGCTCTAGCACTAGCCGCTGGCAACGGGGAATGAAGCTACACCAAGAGCTTTTGCACAAAGGGTTACATCCGAGTCCCAAAACCTTAAGCACCATCACCACTTTGTGCGCACAGGGAAATGCATGGCCTTTTGCCTTGAGCTTTCTGAAAGATGCGTTGGAGGCTTCTACAGTCCTTGACGCGGCTTCAATCACTTCGGTTCTGGTTTCCTGTGCCCGAAGCCGTCGTTGGCAACGTAGTGTCCAGCTCTTTGCGGAATTGACGTCAAGGGAGTCCATCACACCAGATTTAGCTTGCTTCAATGCTGCAATGAGCGCGTGTGAGAGGGGCGGACACTGGAGTGGTGCAATCGCCTTGTTCAATGACATGCAGATAATGTTGCTGCAGCCAGATCTCACTTCAGTGAACGCTGTCATCAGTGCCTGTGAAAAGGGATGCAATTGGCAATTCGCGCTGCTTGTTGCTGCTACTCACTCGGCTCCGGCATCGAAGTCTACAGTGACATTTGCTGCGCTTCTTTCCTCATTGATGCATTGTGCAGCCTGGCAGTTGGCGATAAGAGTGTTAGATGACATGCGAGAGCAAAACATGCAGCCTGGGCCGCTCCACGTGGCCTCCGTTTTGGAGGCATGTACGTCTCCTCGGTCTCCTGACCCACCCAATCCATCCATCAGCTTTTCCGTCTTGGTTGATCTGAATTCTTCAGTGCTGCAAGCCCTGAACCAGAGAAAGGACCTTTCTGAGGCTTTTGAGCCAGATTCAGATTCTTTGCGCGTGCGATGTCAGGAGATCACCAAAAGTGCTGTGGCAGGGCTTGAAGCCTTGCTACGAGCCAAGCGTAAGCCACAGCACAAGAATGCTTTGAACATGACGGAAACGCTGCAGCTCTTTGAAGAGGTGATCTATCAGCCAGTCTTATCTTCTTTGGCAAATTTGGCCTCGGAATCCTCAGATTCAATTGGTTCCATACCCTCCGATGTTCGCTTGGAAGAGCAGTACGGCCTTGGGCCCTATTTCACTGGGCAGGCGTTGGTTGATCTTGGCTTCCCTTGGCCCGGCCGAAGCTGGTGGCACAGAGCAGAGAAAGCAGCTTTGCGTGTTTTGAAGCGGAAATTCATGCAACAAAGTACTGCTTTACCAGAGCGTGCCCTTGCACGGAAGCTGCTGGTGTGGTCTGCATACGACCTTCAAAGCCCGCTTAGTGACGACATTGTTCGACTTCAAATGGAAGGGAGGCCAACCTTTGCACAAGGTGTAGGTCAACAGCGGTTAATTCAAGTAGAGGAAGTGCCTTTATCACCGATCTTTGTGGAGCACGATCGAGCCAATCATGCGGAACGATGGGCTTTGTTGTCCATCATTTCAGACCTTCTCGCCAAAGGCGTTCAGCCATGCGACTTTCAGTCCATTCAAGGAGATGTGTGGTTGTATGGGGTCCATACGCCATGCATCTCCTGCATGGCCATATTTTGCCAGTTTCGAAACGCTTTCCCACAGGTTTCGTTGCGCATCGCGTTTCGAGACTGGTCCGATACAAGACAAGCCTTGCAAAAGGAGTTGCAAAGGCACGGGTTTGAGTTTGGCACCTCTAGTGGCCTTTCTCTCCTTGTTGAGAATCTGTATGGAATTGGACTCCACTCCAGGAAGATGTACAATGTAGAGAATGCTCTTGAATCTGCAAGCAAGAGCCCTAGCTTGTTTGTCCCTGCATAAACACCTGGGTGTGATGTGCACGGTGCGTGATACTTGTCACCCTAGGGTCGCTGCTCTTCGGGCCTTTGCATCCAATTTGTCCATCACCAAGCTGCAACACCCCAACCAAGGCCATCCACAGTCGAGCGGATGGGCAAATCGTTTGTTTTGTGTCTGGAAAAATGGGCATTGTTGCAAAACAGGCCTCGAATGACATGTACTCTTGGACTTTCTACTTCTTCTATTTTGTGGCACATGGCTTTATGAGGGGTGAAATGCTCGCGTTGCTGGCTTCCTTCAGGACGCCTTTCGAAGTGTGCTTTTGGAACTTCGGCCGGATATCATAGCCTGGAGCCCTGGTGCAAAGGTGTGAAGTGGTGACCATCTTGTAAGGAGACCGACATCGTTCAACTCGTCCTAGCAACAAATGTGCACACCTGTGCAGCTTTTCAGTGTGTAAGCGGAACTTGAACAGGGCATACATGCTGGCACTTGCTGCTTTCGACCGTCAACTTCTTCTGTATCGCCTTTCTTGATGCAAGCCATTTGTCGAAGACGGATTACCCCGCCTAGAATTCTTGTGGAGCATACATCAGGTTTCAGGTTGTGTTAGCAGTGCAGAAAGCAGTCACTCCACGCCATATTATATTTATATACAATTCAATTAGTATGCTCAAGCTCTGAGGCTATCAAGGTGAAACATGACATGCTTATATAATTGCCCCCCTCTGTGCCAAACTCACTCCATGGTGTTGCTGTGCTGCTCCACTCCATGTTGACCAAGAACAGGGCAAAAGAAGCGATCTTTACTTTTCGGATTAGCACAAGGTTCGCTACTAGGGGCTCCTGGCAACGCTACTAGGAGCATGGACGCTACTAGGGGCTCCTGGCCGTACTACTAGGAACAAGGTTCGCTACCAGGAGCTTTTTCGCTCGCCTGTGGCTCCGATTCTTTGAGGTGACTGTCTACCATATGGACTGATGCGTTGGGGTGCACCTGTCGTTTGATGCCGATCCCACCAGAGCCTTTCGGTTTGGAGAAGAAACTCTATGCCATTTGCTACTAGTAGCGATGCACTTGTTGCTCAAGCGCAGGACTTGCTGCCAATTCTGGAGGTTGCCAAAGACGTGGGCAATGTGCCTGTTCTACACATGGCCACCGCCAGGCTCTTGGAGAGTCCTGTAGCAAGTCCTCTACTCTCGTGTTCCACCTGTGTTTAGTTCCACCAAGGACATGGACTTGAAAATGCGAGAGGCCATGCCCGACATGTCTTGCTTGGCATTCGGACACGTCGTGCGGAGCGGCCGACAGTGGAGCCTGCGTCGTTGTGGACGATCCAAGTGGAGGGACCGTTGTGGAGTTGAGTTGCCACTTGTTTCGGCGACCTGCGTAGTGTTGCCACTCTTTTCGCCGCAGCTGATTTCGATTATATCAAATTAAAATGAAACAAACTTGAGCGGTACAATGAGATTTTGCAAATCCCAACAACGATTTACAAGAGAAAGAGGCTGCCAGTCGTGCAGTTTCTGGCTCGCAATGAAGTTCTAGACTGGTGATTGGTACCTTTAGACAAGTCTTTTAGCTGGAACTCAACTAAGTTAACTCAGTGTCTACCCTGTCCCTCTGCAAGACTCGTCCGCCGTGCGAGATGGAGACGCGTGAGCAGAACCGACCTCGTGTACCGAGCGACGCGATGGAAATGGACGAGACCTCTCCAAGGGCACGGATCCAGGAGGAGGGCCCTGATGGCCGAGGCTTCTCCCCTCGAAAGGGTTCGATACCCATGCGTTGGGGAGCAACCATCATGTGTCTCGGCCAGAGGTTGGGGTGCCGGTCCGCGATGGTCTTCGCCTCAAGGAACCATGCCCCCAGAAGCACTGTTCTGGGACACAGAAACTCAACATCATGTGCAGATCTCTCCTGACAGCCTTTGGACGATTGAGATCTCTGAGAACTTTGACCACCGGTGAGCAAAAGTGGTTCTTTGACAATCAGGGCAGGCACCCAAAAGCTCCAACAGCAACTGTTTCTGTGAGAAGCGTTCCATGTTTCATTTATTGAATCATAGGTGCAGTCGCCATCTTCAGCGTTCTAGTCTGTATTGCTTTGGCATGCCCAGTCCTCCCGTGTTGCTTTCCCTCAGGGAAAGTGCTTGCTTACTAAAAAGCATCATTTTTGTACATACTTCTGCAAGAGCCAACATTGTTGCGAATAGAAGAAGGTTGCTCGAGTCATAACAGATGTAGACTGATGCACAAGATTTGCTTTCGGCTTTGTTTCAATTTTGGACTCCGGACTAGTTGAATTTTTGCCCAAGGCCGATTAGATCTGCCCCCGATGGAAGTTTGGAAGTTTTGTGCGCACAGAACACAGCAGCCTGGCACGCAGGGAGATTTGAGCTTTCCTTGGCTTCAGGGCATGATAGGCGTAGGAACAAAACGCCACATCATGCATCATCAACTTAATTCCGGCAGATTGTGGCCAATAGTAGCTCCAAGCGACGTCTTTTTTGGCAAAGGGGATCATGGACGGCAATCACAGGACTTCTTCATCCGGGCCTTGCAGACAGAGCTGACGTCGTTTCATTTTTTGTCAACCCTGGAAGATCGAATCAAACAAAGAATGAATCAGGAGCAAGGACGCTACTAGGGGCTCCTGGCCGTACTACTAGGAGCAAGAAGCTATTAGAAAAGAATTCAAAGAATGAATCAGGATAGTCACATCACATCTCAGTCTCGTAGAATCCACCGATTTAATCGTGATGCTTTGGAGTCAAGTGATCTCCATATGGCTCTGGGCCTTTGGCTGGTTGCTGGCCCAGGTGGTGAACTACTTGAAGTCTGAGCCCGGACGTCGAGTGCTGGTTGACTTCCCTGGGGAGTTCCGGCTACTGGGAGCCCTGTGGAAGCCCGCGGTGGATGTGACCCCGCTGGATACCGCCATCCGAGGCGCAGAGCAGTCCAGAGTGAATATTCGTAACGTATAACGGCCTTCAGAGCCAACAAAGCCAAGAACTCAGAAAATAGAACCACACATAGAATTTTGTAATATCTTTTTAGCCTTTCTTTGGCTGGTTGGCTTTTGCTCTTCATGACCCTCCCCTGTGTGCTGGTATCGCACCTTCGAGGACTCACAAGTGCGGGACTGAAAAAGGCGCAGCGCTACATTCGTCCCTTAGCGCAAGCGTAGCGTAGCAATCCATCGGCAAAAGGTCTTTTTGTCTCGCAGCGTTCGTGCACCAATCCCCTGCGATCACATGCGCTGGATATTGAACGATCACTTGCGCTTTGACCCCCCCATGTCATTACTTTGTTCGATTTGGGGTTTGATCTGAGGATCCTATGTGGCTGAACGAGAGGAACTGGGCTTCGCGGCTCTGCGGGCCATGCTCTTTGACGTGACTTTGCAGGTCGGGAAAGAGACATGACGGAGGAAGTCTGAAGAGACGGAAGAAACTCAAAGTGCCCGGTGGGAGGTCTTGCAAAACTTGTGAGGCCAACGGCACCCACAAGACCTACCATTTCGTGTGCAGCATGAGCCGCAGGGCCTCTGACCGCTTTGTGAACCTGTTGAACCAGTTCCTGGAAAGTCAACAAGCTTGCTGTGAAGCGAAAGGCCGCTTCCCAGAGTTTACTAGCCCTTGTCTGGTAGGCTCGCCTTTGGCTAAGGCTAAATACCTCGCCGTAAAGAAGGACAGTTCTCTTAAGGTCAATGTGCAAGTCTAGGAGTACTTCCTCCTAGAAACAAGAATGCTTTCCGAATCGTTCTCGCTCCGCTCAAGATCGTTAGCGCTCGCCACTGCCGCCGTTTTCGATCCCGCAGGTGACAAGCTCTTTGAGATCCCGGAGGCTTTGAGGGCACAGCTTTGCCCAATGTTTCACAAGGCGATCGCTGGGTTGAAGGGACCAATTGGGAAAGGAGCTCAAAGATCCGTTGGGCACGACGAATCATTAATTTTTTTCCTGAGATGTGACCTGCTGGCAAAATGACCTCACAGTTTATGGGATTTTGGACTTAAGAAGTGTCAGAGTTGGTTGCGAGCCTTGGCAGCCACCTGGGAGGTGGCTTGGTGGCGCATAGACGAGCTGTTGGAGCAGTCACAGAAAGACTTTGTCAGCGAGACTTGCCGAAAAGCTGTTTGAATCTCAGTGGCCTTGCCCAAGGCTCAAAGTTTTGGTCCTCGTGAGGTCTTTGCTTTGCACTTCCTGTGCACAACGGGTGGAAAGCAAACGGCAGCTCAACAACGGCAGCTCTTTCAATTTGTCTCTTGTCGCTGCGGCCCAGGACTACCAGCGAGAGCAACTTCTTGCAACTGGCACCTCAAGGGCGATGGAGAATGCGCACCTGGACATGTTGCGGCGCTTGCAGAAGTTCACAGCTGATCAAGTCTTCCAGCAATGCACAGTGTCACAGCCTCAGGATGTCAGCCTGGTCAGGAATTGGGACTTGGCTTTTGACATCTTGCGTTCCTCCAGCTGTGAAACTGAGGAGAGAGGATACACTGCTTTGTGTGCCCCGAGAGAAGTGGAGTGAGGTGAACTGTGGGGAGCTGGAACCTCTAATCGCAGGTGGGGGGAGAGAGTGAAGGGGTGGAGGAGTGCCTTGAGTCTAGAGAGACATAGTCACATAGTATATATTCAGACGATTCAGATGAAAGCAGGGGAGCATCAAGTTGGAATCGGTGTTGGCACAACTGGGCCCATGCCTGCCACATGTTCAATCCCGTTTGCTCAAATCCTGCAGGCTTCCGGAATCTGAGTGTGCTATCCTTCAACATGAACATCTTACCCTTTGGTGTGGCATCCATCCGCGGTCATGAGAGTTTGCACAGCAGTGCCCGGCTGCAAACATTCCTCCAGAAGATCAGACAAGAGTTGGAAGCAGAAGCGTCAAATTCCAAGGCCGCTGTTTGTATAAAGCAAAGTTATCAAAAGTTGGCATGTGACGTTTCATCTATTCTGAAAATGGCTCAAAGCCAGGGGCCGCGAGCTCTCCACGCAACTGTCATTTGTCTTCAAGCCAAATATCCAGACCTTTCAGAATGAAATCTTAGGATCACAAATGCTGTACATTTGTCACAGCTCAGCTTTGATCACATGTGGCTTGTTCAGGCTGATGGTGCCCGTGCACCGGACATCATCGCAGTCCAGGAGCTCTTTGCCTCACCATTCGTGCCTTTCTGCTGTGCACAGTCCTTTGCCGTGCGCGTCATGGCATCGTCCCCTGGCCTCTGTCGTGGGTGTGTTAAGAACAGAAAATGATAGCGATGGCCTTCAACCTACTAGCGATGGCCTCCAACCTTCTCTCTTCCCCTAAGTGCACCAGAAGGTTGGACCAATGGTTGATGCAACCTGTTGTTCAATTGATGCAAACTTGGTTTGCAGGTTGGGTTATCACGCCATCATTGGGCCGAAGCCCACGATCCTGGATCTCGTCCGGAAAGGCAAATGGACCGACAGCGGTCTGGTGATCTTCAGTCGCTTGCCGGTGGCTGAGACTCGCTCCATTCGTTTTGGAGCTGGGGCTGCACTGGATGCCGGGGCGTGCAAAGGTGCCATGTGGGCCAGGCCGGTTTCTTGGAGGAACCCTCTTGCTTTCACATCGGAGAGAGTTTGTGAATGCTTGTAGTAGCTTCTTGCTACTACTAGTAATGCCCTTGTTACTAGTAACGATGCCCTTGCTACTACGAGCCCAATGACCCACCAGGACTTCCGAAGGACACCAAAAGGGACCTTTCAAGGGAGTCCTGTCCAACTTGGTCCCCTGAGAGGTTTGAGCTGGCCTCTGAACGGTATTTGGATGTCTTCAACTGCCACTTGCAAGCATCGCACACTGGAGCTGATGGCGAGGTCTTTGAACGCATTCGAAGATCACAGCTAAAGGACAGCGCAAAAGCTTGGTCATTGTTGAATGTGAGCAGTTGGCAAACCCGGAATCACGTCACGTCCGAAGCCAATGAACATTGTAGCCTAACGATGAAGAACATATGCTTAGATTAGATATGTCTTGCTATGCATTTTTCACCGCAGCGGGTTGCAGGAACTGCGTGAGTTCGTCGAGCTGGCGGGAACCCAACATCCTTACCTTCTCACCGGAGATTTCAATGTGGATGCGATTCCCGAACCTTCAGATCCAATGGGTACCTATGGCATTCCCTTTCGGCCACCTCGTCAAGAATCCGAAGATTATCAGCGGCTCATCCATGCCTTGGACCCCAAGGGGCGTCTGGTGGATTTGCTCTGTGGGCCAACTCCATCAGATCCTTTGGGCTCCGAATGCCCCAGCAAGCGGCACCCTTGCACACGACCACCTCGCTTGAGAATGCCCTCGTCTGCAGGCTATGTGGCGCGTCACAAGTATCCACAGCGCTTGGACTACGTCTTCTACCGGCCAACTGTATCATCGTTGGTAGAACATGCACAGTCGAGAGTGGAGCCCTTTGAAGTGGTAGACCAGCCTTTTGAATACTTGAGTGATCACTTCGGCATCAGGGCGTTCTTTCGCTTTCGCTGCTCTTTCGCATGGACTCGACCAGAGAAGACCTGCGAAGCCAGTCAGCCGCGTTGGAGAAGACTCTTTTTGGCCATGAGCCATCATTGGGTGAAATCTTCCATTGCACTTGCATGCTTTCCCTTCTTCTGGCAGATCGGTCGCCGTGAGGAGTGCGCTCTCCTCCGCACCTCGCGCTGGGAGCTTTCCAACTTCTTTCCCCGTGGCAGCTTCATGTTGCTCGCAGGGACGCTGCTGGCGCTGGTGCCAGGCCTCGTTTGGTGGAGAAGAAAGGAAGAGTCCCCACCACTGGAGAGGACCTTCTCAGTTACTGCAGAGCTGGCAAGTTCGGCTTTCAGGAAGAGGCTCAAAGCGCAGGCTGAAAAGCCAGCGAAGACCATTGCCTCAAGCCCCTATGATAGTCTTTGGGCAGAGTATTGTATTGTACCTTTTCCTTTTCTTTGCACATTGGTATTTCTGGATTGTTGTACTACTTCTTGATGCTGAGCTTCAACATGCGGAGATCACGTACTTTTTTCATTCCAAACGATCCTGTTTCAGGTTTTAATGGTTCAGTGGAGTCTTATCGACTGCGACCCTGCATTGGCAAGCGTCCGGTGAATTCCGATGGCACTTTGGGAGATTATGTCTGGATGAGTTACGGCGATGCCCAGTTTGAGGTGCTGAGAATCTCTTCAGGACTGCACCGAAAGTTTGGCCTGCAGAGAGGTTCCCAGGTGGGCTTGCTTGGTGATTCCTCAGCGGACTGGCGACCTGGATGAATGCAAGGCATTGAACACTGTTTTGAACACCGCAATGCTTGGTTGAACCCGCCAGTGAACAACTTGAGACTCTTTTTTCTAGAGTCTATTTCTTGTTTGCATTTTGCTACCGTCACAGTGTTAATGCACACCCATTCTCTCTCTCTCTCTCTCTCTCTCTCCCTCCCTCTCTCTCTCTCTCTATCTTGTTATCGCAAATGGTTCCAAAGGCACACAAACATGCTACCCGCCCCGCACCTGTACAAATGTCTCGGAACCTTCTGGAAAGCTACAGGTTTCACCTATGATGGGCACGGGCCATGCTTTGAAGAGCAGGTTGTCCAAATTTGCCTGTGCTCAAAAACTATAACAATTCTAAGCAATCAGGCACGTGGTCCAATAGATTGTATGCTTCTTTAGATTTTTCGATTGATTGTTTGGCTTTTACAGGTCTTGCGGTTCGCTTTTGGAGTTTGGGGGCGCGTGACCTAGGCTGAAAAGACTCAAAGAGTTGAAAGGGGCGAAAGAGGCTTAGAAGAATAGAACCTCGATCTAGCCAAGCTGAACTAGCTGAACTCTTCGCCAGCCGACAATGCCCAACGATAACTGAAATCACAAGTCCGAACACTGAACCACCAGAAACAGGTAGACACTTGGGGAGGGGGTACCATCATATATACACTTTAAAATATGCACGTCATTGTCATCATGCCTAGACAGTTTCGATGTTAGAAGATGATCACTGAGGCTCCTGTGTGATCTTGCCTTGATGCGCTTGGGTGTCAATACCGTGTGCCTTGCAGCCCCTGCGAGTCATCCGACGACTGGCACCACTGCCCCAACGCCAGGGAGTATTCAGGACGGACTGCCGGTTGAGTAGGGATTGAACAGCTGGTACTCTTTTGAAGAACTTTCTACAGCTTTCGAGTGTTTCGATATGGTTTTCTTGGATTTGACCATTTGATACTACTTATCGATGAGATTTGTGTAGGAGTTTCCAAGTTCCTTATTCTGGGGACAAAAGAAAGGCACAAACGTTCCAAGTACAAGATGAGTTCTTTCACACAGCGAAGCCACCCAGGGGTGAAACGGCCAAATCCAATTTCCTAGAAACCCCAACCTAGAGGGGATGGCCTCCAACCTACTAGCGTGGTCTCCAACCTAAGAGCGATGGCCTCCACCCTCAGAAAATCATCAACTGTTCATTCGAATTGGTTGCCTGCTTTATCCTGTGCTGTGGTTCGCATGGATTTTGGCTTCATATTGGATGGAACACCTCCTCTGAGTTACATTAAGTAAGTGCAACTACATACAGTCAATCGACCTTGGCCCAAACATCTCCAATGTTTGCAAACATCTCCAGTCGTAACTTCCTGTGATTTTTCAATCGCTGATTGGAGGATTTGGAGATCCTCCTTTGCTCCTCTGATTGGGTGGAGTACTTCGTGGCTGCCCGGCGCCGCGAAGAGTTGCCCCGCTGCCCCATCGTGGCCTTTACACCCTTGGGCCCGCGCATCGCGGCACTGGCACAAGACAGAGGCGAACGACTCATGCTTGGTTTAGTAGGAAACCCGGGAATGGCCTCCAACCTAGTAGCGATGGCATCCAACCTAGTAGCTTCATGGTTTGTTTAGTAGGAAACCTGGGACTGAGGTGTTTTTGACACCACGGTGGGATGGAAAACACAGGACTTTGTGAGAAAGTTTTTGGTGGAGGGATTGTAGAAGGTACGCTTTCAAGACGTGTTTGCATGTGATGTTTGAACATGCTTGCACAGCTGTTCAGTGGCGTGCCACCTATTGCCCTATTGCCAGACTTTTCACCATTTTCCAGCCCCTTTCAGGTTTAAAGGTTTGGGACTTGCCCTTCATCGCACATTTTGGCGAAGTGAGTGGCTGGGTGCCCTACATTGGTGTGGGCGGCTTCGATGTCTTGACCACCATGTACCGCTCAAGATCTGGCACCAAAAGTGAATTGGCAGGAGAGGTGAACCAACGAGAAACCAAAGCTTCACTTTTTTGGACACCCAAGCGAACTCGTAGAAAAACACCACTCACCCTTCTGCCTACAGGAGCGCAGGAGCGTAGCCAAGCGTTTTGATGGGAGTCTAGGTGATTCTGAATGACTTTGTTCGTGCCACAGGAGTCTCAGTAAACCTACGTGGGCTGGCAATATGTGCACACTCCGTTCGACAGGAACCTTGGGCCAAACAAGGAACAAAGGAGCCAAAACAAAGTTTGGGACCCACAGAAGAGTTTGTAGTTTCATTGAGATACGAGATACATGTAATGGACCACCCCCCTGACGATTGCCCGGCCAACCGAAAAACGCACCCTTAGGCCTTGGGCCTCACCTGTGATGATTGCCACTTTAGCTACATTTGGCCGGCCTTCACCGCCGAGCGCCTCATGCTCCATGCGGTGGTGGCTGCTGGAGGGGCCATTGGCTTTTTCGGAGGTGTCAGGTGAGGCGAAGTTTGGAAGCTTTCTCTCAACAGAGAAGTTTTGAATCTGAGTCGCGCTTTGACTATCCAGCTAATGTGGCAGGTCACCACGGATCTTTGAAGACATCAAGAAACTACAGCCTACTTTCCTTGCTGGAACAGCATCGCTCTTCCGCAGACAGATTACCCGTTTGCAATTGAAGCACGTGGGCATTTTGGGAAACCTCAGCTATCGGATACAGCGGTGGGCACTCATCCGATGCAAGGCTGGCGCAGCTTTTGTTTGTGTCTCTGGAGCACATTGTATCATTTCTGACAGGATGGTGAGAGCGTACTCACAGGATTATGCTGTAGCGACAACATCATCAAGTAGCATGAACTGGCATGACGTGCTATTTTGGGCTCTCTTCAGATTCAGATAGAGTCATCCACACCAAAACGGCGTGAGGCAGACACGGATCGAGTGGAATCCATCGACTTCGATGAGGAATCCATCGACTTGATGCAGCGGATGGCGGAGCTCGTCCTGACGAAGCCACTGAGCCGATGGCTCAACCGCCCTTTTGCATCTGGGCTCCTTTCGACAAGTCTTTTGGATCCTTTTTAGCCCTCGCATCTCCTCAACCTCGCAATCGACTCTATGCACTTGGCCCCTCGACTCTATCGTTTGGCGTGGATGCTTTGAGGTACTCCCACGGCAGGTCTTGCTGGGCTCCAAGACACGCTTGCGCTTTGTCCTGGCCTTGTGTGGTGCGGGGACCACCGCCTTGCCGCCAGCTGCTGGGCTGCAGTCGGTTAAGACAGCTGCAGTGTAGGACTCGCAGCGATGCAGAACATGTCAAAGCACGTTTGCCAGGTTTATGATTCTTGCTTGCCTGGTTTGATGATTTGGGATGCCCAGACAAAACAAGGACCGGTGCCTGTGGATGCGACTGCTCCTTGGATGCCCCGTCCTGAAAAGCTTTGTATCCGTCGAGGTGCCGCCTTCTCCTTGCGTCGAGGAGTTGTCTTGGAGGTCTTTACCTTGCCCGATGGTCCAACTGACTCCTTACTAGTAGTAACAAGAAGCTATTAGGAACAAGTGCCACGCTACTAGTAACAAGTGCCTTACTAGTAGTAACAAGAAGCTATTAGGAACAAGTGCCACGCTA